TTTTGTGTCAAGTCGCCTCCGAATTACGATGGGTTTAAGTCATTATTTTGTGGTGCTTCTTCGTGACCACCGTGCAGCAAAGAGTGAAACAAATGAATATTGAATGTGAAACCAACATGAGAGTTAGCTTTGTACGGTATGATACTGTGTCCAGTTACATTCGATTTTTCCTGGAAAATAAATCACTTGTGGTCTGCCTTCTATCTTCTACGTTAATCCATAGCAAAACGTCGAACGGTTGATTCAATAACATTTACATACGAAAAGAAGGGAAGGGCAAAACTGACAAAATGAGACCAGAGGTCGTTTCCAAGTAGTCAATCAACTAATACTCCGTAGGCACCAATGATCTCAACAAGTCGATACAATCAATTCAGCATAATGTGACATGTCTTCTGAGACAAGGATACACACAGGATGACAGAAATTTTGACTATAGTTCCAGTCATTTCACTGGCTTCGTAGTTTCCGTCAAATATACAGCGGTAGTCGTTCCGATTATGGCAAGGGTTCATAATAACTTCATTCCAACATTATTTTCCTTCGGAAGTATCTTGCGATACAAAACTGGCTGCTGTTGAGCATAATTAGGTTCGGTGAGGCACAGCCACCCGAGCCATCTAGGCCCTCTAGAATTCTGCAGGCTCTACGGCAGAAACAACTGTTGAATTCACTATCTGAAATATGAAGTATATCATCCAAATTTGATCACCACAGAGCGGTGTACACAAACGTAATCTTTTGCGGGTGGTTACTCCAGCTGTTTCAGCTATGGTTATGTCCAATAAAACCAGTGTGATCAACACTGGTATCGAAGACACACAGAACTAATTATTTTGCGGGTTCATCTATCATTACAGATTTTCCAACTTGACCTTTGCTAGGCAGAACTGGCTAAACGTTTGTTCCCCAGGAACTTGGTCTGGACAGTTTGGGGGCATTCTTACTTTGTGGAGTTCTGCTTTAGGTTTTTATCTTTGCGAAAACTGAAGACCAGAGCAAGTTAGGTAACAAGTTATTTTGAGGTGATTTTTAGATTAGTCTTTCTTAGTACTTAAAGAGCTTAAGTAATCTTCGAGGCTGGTTTGAGGAATGCAGGAGAGGGATTTTCCCATTGCTTCTGGTGGTGAGATCCATAACTTGCGGTCTCAAGTATCGACTAACTTTTATCCACTTCTGTTCAGGCCCGTTCGTGTCCTATTCTTAGTAGATGTTTTTCCAAGTGTGATAGTTACTGTAACACAGGTAGAGAGTATTATAAGCGATACGGCTAATCGTACTTCAATCACTCCCAATACTCTTATACTGAGCTAGTTGCAGACTGAATGTTTCAAACTGAGGTGAGTAGGTGTTATTTTATTCATCCACGTAATTTCTAAGGTGTTCCTCTCTAAACACATTCCATTAGGTCATTATGCTTTATATGGTAAGGAGATATAATGCATGAGCTTTTCCCACATGAAATATTTGGGGAACTGTGAAACGTTTCGATTAATTCCAGAGCAAAATTACTCGGTGTTCCGAAAAGCAATCCTTGGTGTAGATAAGTTAACTGGGCTCCTGAATGTCAATGGGAAGAACGATGCTCAAGTCCTTTGGATTGAGGCTCTAGGATCTTTTAAAGAGTACGATCCATTATTAAGATTCTAAACTAAATGATAATGAGTGGAAAGAAGTTTCTCATCGACATGCATTCTGTTTTGGTCTTCTTAGAAAGTAAGGATATTATCTAGGTCGTTTTCAATTCGTCTTGTAGAATAGGATTATTTGCAAGACTTCGTAACACTTCTAAAGTTCAAGACCATCTGCACATCGTATGGTCCTTGTACCTGGAGCACAAGGCAGATCGGTAACAAATAATGAAACTCGTAAAGATGTCACAAGTATTCGGAGATTGACAACGACTTAACGAGTAATCCCTTTACAATTGAAGCTTGCCAACCCGGTCAAATCAGAGATAAAAAAATTGGAAGAATTTTCGGAAGGCTATCGGTATATATAGAAACGTTTGGTCTAAGCTGGCTAACAGTTCAAAGTGATGAGTAGCACGGCATATCCAAAGGTGATCTGGTGCGGATGAGTGACCGAGAGCCTTCAGCTAACTAAATCCATTAAAACTAATACGGTCAGCACGAAATGCCGAAAACTGACAGAACTATTGATTATGGAGATTTATTTAATGCTAGACTTGTGATAAGTAAAAGGGTTTCCACAGCTAAACTTACTAAAATAAGAGACTTCTGTATGCCCTCGTTCTCATTTGTGAGATTGAATGCAACCACATCTGCAGGTGCTCTGTCATACATTTACACCATATGACGTTTGGGTCCAACGCTTTGTGCTTCGACAGAACTATACTTTAGGTATAAACCAGAGACAGGCCTTGAACTTGGGCGCGAGGTTCGGTTAATCACGTTGCATTTGAGGATTGTGATGTGTTTTTTGTCATGAAAACTCAAACTGTAGGTTCTAACACTAACTCCTTACTTTCCGTCCCATCTCGGATTCCTTACATTAATCCATAATCCTCTTTTTAACCCTAGTAAGTAGGTGAGTTTCTGAAGGTCGATTCAGCTTCGCTCAGAGATTGAACATCAAAATACTTTCCAGCATCCTTCCAAAGCAATCAATAGAGGGGATAAATAGGAACAAGGATTTAGAAGGGGAGGTGCGCCAGAGATCCTCTTTCTCGTCTGCCATGGAGAAATGTTGCGAAACTTCCCTTTTTGTTGCTGCATGTTTGAAATGTGGCGAAATTGTCTACGTTTTTCCAAAATACACGCCAAATTATCTACTTTTTGCTCAACACCAAGTAGTCAACCTCAAAAGTCGTCATTTTACCATTGTTTCCTCCAAGTTCGCCTTCATTGGTTGCTTAGGTCACATTCCGTGTTCTTCATGTGCACATTGTAGTTAAGCTACCTCTGGCCTAGACAGCGAATCAGCATGCCACATATTTACAGATGGATTCATGAAGTTAACTAGTGTGAAACCTGGACAACCTACGTTTCAGGAGCCCAATGCTTCCCGTACTGTTACTTTGAGACGCCTTAATAGGTCTGGTACAACAAAGTACCAGTATGCGAAGTGCCAATTCAATTTCGGGATCTTGCATCCTACCCAGGGTCCCGGAATGAGTAAGAAGGGACAATTCTCTGTCTTCTCTAGCACTTGACGTCATTCTGGGTGTTAATATTTGGGTAGTAAGTTTAAAATAAGAGTAGTGTATATCACTGGATAATATGGAATGGCACCTTCTAATGCCTCACATTACCACCCATGAACTGACATCTTCGTGACCACAGATAGCTCGAGAAGAAGGCTATTGAGTGCTGAGAGAGACGCATTTCGACTTTTTGTTCAGGGAAATATCGATGTTTTGAGTCATGGATTTAGCGTAGGAAGAACTTAAGAAAGTTATGATATACAATGACACTAGAAATATAAGGACAAGGCTACCAACATAAGTGTTGTGTATAAATAACTATAAAAAAACAGGAATTGAGATTTTAAATGATCTTATACCTCGTGTAAGAGATATTGGGAAGGCGGAAGTGCTTCAGAGCAATCTTAGCAATATATCGGAGATTGTTTATGCACGTAGCGATATGATCGATATTCATTAGAAAATTCCGGAGGTCGTTGATATCGATTCGGCGTACAAGACAAACAAAATGGGGTATGTCAGATTCAAAATATTTGAAGGAAATTGGTAGGTGGCATCCATAGCAGTTTGTTGTGAATGGTGGATATAAAAGAGGGTGCAGTGATGTTTGCATTGACGCAAACTAAGCGACCAAACAATGTAAAACAAGTTCTACTAACTTAAGGTAGAGTCAAGTCTTAAAGAAAACAGAAACTTGCCCCTTGTTTAACTTGATTCCTAGCTTCATTAGTCGGGAAATATTTAAAAGCCAAGATTGTTGTAGAGACGAATGTGAATTAATGGACAATCTTTTGAAGGACAACACAAGTCACAGAAATACACATTGCTTATGAAGTAAACTGGAGATATAGAGACTCTAATATCAAGTCTCGGTTGACGCAATTTTACTCAGCAGCATCATCGTATTCATGAATCCATAGAGCATAGTAAATATGATAACCCTGATTGGTGATATTAACTGTCTTCATTCACTAGCCCCCAAATGCCCTGGTGCGACCAAGGGTGGGGAGAGTCCGCTCTCTCAAAAATGCTCTTACGTTGCTACGGGTATACAACCACTGTCAGGGAGGTCCGACTCACTGCCATCTCGCGCCAGGGGTATTTTACGCAGTTGGAAGGATGAAGAGCGAATGTCCGGCGCTTTAACCGAGTTGGCGTACACGAAGGTTGCACCTTAGAGAAGTAGGAAAGGCCTGATCCCAAACCAAGTGCTCATGAGCTCCAGGATCCTGAAGGAACACATGGTGTATGAACCAATTGTTGGTGACTAGCTACCATGGGACTGCATGTAAAAACTTGCCCCGCTGCCTTGTGGGTTAGACCTCTAGGTCAAAGGCTCGGGAAGTGACTCCCTAAGGAAACCACTTGGTCCGGTTTGGGCGCCCGAGTAATATCCCAGCCCTCACACAAATTGGATGATGAAGCGTGGCATATATATATATATATATATATATATATATTTAGCGCCTCCTTGTACCAATACTTGGGTATTTAAATAAAGTAAAAGTAAATTTAGTCACTGGATTCGTACGCCAACACTTTACACAATGAGAACAAGGAATACTTGCTTTCTGTATACCACGGAACGGTAAAATTTCTCCTTGTTACTAGTTGTTTTACTTAACTAGGTCTTGGTTGAATTAAAAACGGTCACTCATTTAGCTTTGTCGGTATTACTAATGATGGGGACTCCCTTTGTTGTGCAGTCATTTTTTATCGTATGAAGATAAGTCATTGAGGAAATTTTCGAATATTGATAGTCGATTTTATGCAAAACTACTATTGTTAACTTTTGTTTCTTTTAACAGGACTATATACATGTAATACTTCACAGATGTGTGCTCTATGTTACCTCACGAGAGTAGAATCGTTCTCAGCCTGTCATCGTCTTCATTCACAACATCTTAGTAATGAAGAAAATGTTGAACTGTTTCAAAAATGTAATAATCCTATGGGACATGGTCATAATTACAAATTAGAAGTCACAGTTTCAGGACCTATCGACCAAAGAACCGGTATGATTATGAACATAAGTGACTTGAAATCAGTTGTTCAAAAAAATGTTCTCGACCTATTAGACCATAAAAATATAGATGAAGATGTTGAATATTTTAAAAACAATAGTATTGTATCAACTACGGAAAACCTAGCAGTTTTCATATGGTCACAATTAGTCAATGCTATCCCTAATAATTTACTTTACGAAGTCAAAATATGGGAAACTGAAAAGAATATCGTAACTTATAGAGGTGAAAAAATAAATCACAAGTAAACTACACCTCTAAAAAATTATTATATTACTAAATCATTTATGCCTAAATAAAAACATTGAGTTTAATTTGCTAATATATTTTGCTTAGCTGTACACGTTGATTGGTATATACATGGGTATACTTTAAATACAACTGAAGAGAATGACAATATCTACACGTCTATAGAGCTGTAACCATCAAATGCTCCACGGCTGACCATTCTCAGCATTGCACCAAGCTGTCGGCCAGGACCGGCTTCAATTGTACGAGGAAAAGGGACATCTGGTGGGCGATCATATATTGCATACATCGTTTGCTCCCATTTTACAGGACGGATAACCTGTAAAGAGTACAAAGACACGAAGGTTTTTTAGACTGCTTACATCTGAAGATATCAAATGAATACTAACTATTCATGCCTCCGAAGTAGCACGAAATACATTTACAGAGAAATAACGAATAAACAATTATCCAGTAACTTAAAAGGTCAGTACAGATTGCTCTCAAAGAGCATTATGACGAAAAATTATTTTCAGTAGTTTAAATCCCAAGCGCCATTGTTAGAAATTTGTAATTACTGTATTACAGTGATAAAAATAGGATATACAAACAAGTTGTGGCTGGACCATAAAATTTTATTAGTTATAATAATGGGCTATTACAATGATTAAGGTTTAAATACTTCAAAACTGTATCATTGTTTTACTGTGCAATAATACCCAAGGCATGCAATCCGCACTTAATCAGTTGGCAATCAGTGTCCGTAGGTATGGTATGTCCTTTGCACCTTCAAAGTGCAAAGTACTTCTACATGATTGGCAGGATTCTAATCCTGCACTCACTCTGGATGGTGAACAGATAGAAGTAATCGAGAAGTTCGTGTATCTGGGTAGCTGCATAAGTGCTGGTGGGGGTGCGAGTGATGAGATCGATTTACATATGGTGAAAGCCAGAGCGACTTATGCCAATCCGGGCCACCTTTGGCGCCTTCGTGATGTTAGTCTGGCTGTAAAAGTTCGGATATACAACGCATCGGTGAGAGCAGTTTTGCCCTATGCTTGTGAAACCTGGCTTCTCTGAGTTGGGGGTGTTAGGTCATCGTTGTCCTCGAAGGACTGCTGAGGTCCAGTGGCAACAACAAGCTAGTAATGCAGAGTTTCGGGATCGTGTGTTCGTATGCAGAGACAATAATCCAACTGGTGTCACTCTCTTGAAACATCGACTTTGGTGGCTTGGACACGTTCTACGAGTGTCGTCCCAGAGAATTCCACGTCGTGCATTATTTACCGACACTGGGACTGGTTGGGAAAAGCGGAGAGATGGTCAGTGTATGACATGGTCTCGTGGTATGGAAGAAAGCTGCAAAGGACTGGCTTGTGTTGGACCTTCACGACTCCCTGGTTGGGGTCCGAGAGATGGTGCTGCACAGTGGCTAGAGAAGTTATGAGATATGGCTCAGAATAGAAGCCAGTTGTGATCCTGCTGTAACCTTCCTTTACTTCATAGAAAGTGGTTGTATCTTCCTTAACTGAAAGAATTCTGGTTATACCTTACCGTTTCCCCCATTATTATCATTATTACACTAATCTGTGGTCGTTATTGTTCTTTTTTTTTAATACGCTCCTTACATTCTCTAACTCTTCCCATTTTCATTGTTATTGCGTGGCGCTTATGTATATGGTGCCTCCTTGTACCTATATTTGTGTTCAAATAAGTAATAAATGTATATACATTTCTGTCGACTGGTCTATCTGTATAGTAACAAATGCTATGTTTGTCTAGTCCTTACTGCTGATTGACTACAGGGAGTGTTACTTTCTCTGAGATCGGAGACAGATTTCTGGTGACTAACAACCAGCGCGAACTCTTGAGTTTTTTATACGTCACATGCAACTACTCGAAATATCGCGTTTGTGAATTTGAAAGTCTATTTTTAAAAATGTTAGGAAATTTACCTGTAGGGCGATGAGACATTTATTTTATTCCTTAATGAAGATTGTGGTTTGATAGCAAATCACTAAGACCATCCTTACTGCGTGAAAAATTAATGGCTACTACTTTTCTACATCAGGTATATTTTTAAATGTTATTTAGTGATATACTAAGTAAATCTAACAGAAGTAGTCGTTTATTAAGCCACATTGAGTCCCGATTCGTATTACTACATAAGAGATGAGTAGGATGAATGCTAACTACACATACCCAACTTCTAACCGTGAGCAAGGTAATTTGTTAATTATGGAATTATGTCGATAAATCGAGTCTGATATCATACTTAGATTCAACAGTACGTCTAACATTTATTACCGGAAATGGTCAATATCAGGGATTTATTAATTGTTCAACACGTATATGGTTTTTAATCAAATCACTGGACGTATGCTTAAGTAGTTGGGTTAGTCAGTCATAAAGACTAACAAATATGTATCGATCCAAGTTACTATTACACAGTCAGTCAGTCAGTCAGCTACAACGTAGAACCATGCACTTATGTGCATCGGTCCAGGTTGCCATACCGCATCAGCACAACAAGATGAACACCGGATTCATAACAGTGGTTAGGTAAAAGGTGGTAATATATAAGAGAAAGATTGCATATAGAGATATAGTACAAGAAGAAAGAATTGGTTAGTAGAAAGAAAGATATGAAATAATTTCAGTCTCTTAGTTTAAGGGAAGACAGGGAGTGTATACACCGACGCCATTGTGATCGATTCTGAGCCATGTCACCAAGAGTCTCCAACCATTGGTTACGATAGTCACGCGGACCCCAACCAAGTAGTCTGCATCTACCAACATGACTCAGACTAGAAGTTAGTGACTTCAAGCACTGATGCCACGTTTTGGTTTGGCCGCCCCTAATTCTCTTCCAACCATCCCCAACACCGGATAGCATTGCACGTCGTGGTAATCGGTGTTCAGGCATACGTAACACGTGGCCCAACCATCTCAGTCGATGAAGATTCATAACCTCATCAACTGATTTACCATCCTTTCCTAATACCCTGCGTCTAACCTCACTATTACTTACCCGATTATCCCAGCAGACGCCAGCAATATTTCTAAGGCATCTGTGGTCAAATACTAGCAGCTTGCGAGTGTCTTCTACTCTTAATGGCCATGTTTCGCTACCGTAAAGTAAAACAGAACGGACTGCCGCGCAGTATACTCGTCCTTTTATTGATAGACGGATATCTCGCCTTCGCCACAGGTGACGTAAGTTGGCAAAAGCCAAACGAGCTTTTCGAATCCGTGCTGAGATTTCGTCCGATACCAACCCATTAGGGCTGATCAGACTTCCAAGATAAGTGAAGTTGTCAACGCGTTCGACTACTTCACTCCCTATCCTTAGTTCAGGTGTTAACGCAGACCAGTCCTGAAGCAACAACTTGCATTTCGAGGGAGAGAAGCGCATTCCAAACATTCTGGCATTGTTGCTCAGTGCTACCAGAAGACTTTGCATTTTGTCAGCGTCTTCACCAAACAGGACTATGTCATCTGCGTATTCTAAGTCGATAAGTGGACCTCCTGGAAGGAGATCAATACCCGAGAACTCAGTCGACGAGAAAGTTATTTCCATCAGTAGGTCTATGATGAAGTTAAACAAAAATGGGGAAAGTGGGCATCCTTGACGGACACCACTTGAGGTTGCAAAAGTAGATGACAGTTCGCCATAAGTTCTCACTCGACTAGTAGTGTTCGAGTAAAGAGCCTTCACAAGGTTTATGTACTTCTGAGGTACGCCTTTCAATGACAGACACTGCCACAGAACCTCGCGGTCTACCGAGTCAAATGCTGCTTTTAAGTCAAGAAAGACCACCATCGTCGGACGTCGATAAGTGTGCCTGTGTTCTAGAACCTGACGAATGGTGAATATGTGGTCGATGCAGCCACGACCAGGTCTGAAACCAGCTTGGTTTTCTCGTGTTTGCAGTTCACGAGTCTTAGTTAGGCGTCTGATAATTATCGAGGCTAGTATTTTAGATATTATATTAGTTAAACTAATCCCTCTGTGGTTGTCACAGGATGATTTTGACCCTTTCTTATATATTGGGACGATAAGTGATTGTGACCAGTCAGATGGAATAACGTCTAACTCCCAGATCTTAGCTAAAATATTAGTCAACCTAATCGCTAAAATTGGACCACCATCTTTAAAGACTTCTGGAACCAGTCCATCTGGTCCAGCTGCCCTTCCTCGTTTCAGATTATCTATAGCCTTTCGAACTTCAGCAAGAGTTGGGGGACCTACTTCAATGTTCCATTCACGCTGTCTGGGAATGGAGGGTAGTTGTAGAGTCGCTGAAGGCCAGCTGAACTGTTCCCTAAAGTGTTCCGCCCATCGTTCTAAACGTCTGGACTGGGAATAGATGAGAGTATCGTCTTTTTCCGATATAATCTCACTTACACTTGACTTATTAATTCCAGTTTCTTTTATTAGTCTGTAAAGTTGTCTTGTGTTCCCTATAGTCGCCGCCTTTTCCATCTCTTTTGCTTTCGTTGCCCACCACTGCTCACGGTCGTTTCTTAAACTTTTTCTTAACCTAGATCTGATTTGTTGTCGCTCTTCATCATGTTCGGAACCTAATGGGACAAATTTGCGAGAATCCATCAGTGTGATAGACTTTGAAGAAATCCACTGGTTCTTTGAAACTCTGTGGTTTAAGTTGCTAATAGATGTCATTGCTGCTTCCACAGCTGCTTGTATGTCTTTCCAAGCAACATCTGGGTCAGCCTCGTGTTCAGAACTACTTAAGTGTGAACTCAGTTGTTCTTGGAACCTATTTTTGGTTTTCTCGTTGCTCAATTCAGTTCTAATTGGTCTTTTTAATGTGGCTTTTTTGCGTCCGGTGAGGCGCAAGCAGATGCGTGCCCGTATTAGGGCATGATCGGAGTCCAAGCAGGTACTCCAGAATGAGCGACAATCTTCTACCGACCCTCTCCAACGATGACTGATGGCAATATGGTCTATTTGAGTCCATCGTTGGTTTGGTGTAGGGGGTCGCCATGTTAGACGATGTCTCTCCTTATGCTTAAAATTTGTGTTTGCTAAAAATAAGCGATTGTCTGAGCACAGTTGCAGCAGACGATCACCATTATCTGTTCGCTGTGCTGGAATGCTAAAATACCCACCTAAATGCCTTTCTGTTTGGTTTAAGCTACCTATCTGCGCATTAAAGTCACCCCCTACGAGTACTATGTCTGAGCGTTTAGCTTTCTGAAGAAGTTCAGAAAGCTTCCTGTAAAATTCATCCTTCACTTCATCGGAGCTGCAGTCAGTGGGAGCGTAGGCAGAAACGACAAAAAGGCAACGACGTGTGTCCCTATCCTTCCGAGTTTTTACTGAGCCGTTTAGCCGAACAGCACATAGACGACTGTTGATGGGGATCCAATCTAGCAGTGCTTGTTCCGCCCTCATGCTTAGTGCTATGCCTACACCTGCCAGTCCACGAGAACTGGCCATCGGGTCACCAGATACACGTAGGGTGTATCTCGTTGGCTCTCCGTTTTGCCGAGGTGAGGTCAAGTGAATGACCACACTGGAATCCTGTATGCGTGTTTCGGAGACACAGCATACATCGATGGAAAGAGACTCTAGGGTTTTAGCCAAGGAAGCCTGCTGACCGATTTGACATAAAGTGCGTACGTTGAAAGCTCCAATGTGTAGTTTGGAGCGAGGTTTCAGTAGACCTGGGACAGAGTTTTGAGCACTAGAATCGTTGGCTATGGTGACACTTGAGGAAGAAGCCGAAGGAGGAAGTTTAGGGTTGAAAGTCGATGTAGGAGGAATAATAGGAATTGAAGAGGAAGGTTGATTATGAATACAGTGGTCTTGGGTGCTGTTAGAGGTATGAGGGCGGTTATCACTTCCCGGTTGCCCACACCGTGGAAGGGTTCTTCTGGAGGTACCTGAAAAGGAAATTGGATTAGAGGCGGTCTCGGCGACCTGAGAGCGTGACCGCAGTGCCCAAGGGACAACTGCTTGAGGCCGGTCGCGCACGGCCTTTCCGTGGAAGGTTTTTGACATGTTAGCTCCGTTCTTCAAAGGGCCTTACCGCCGGAGACGGAAATCCGTGAGGTAAGGTGAGGTGTGCATTTTTAGGGTCGACCTTTTCTAACCCCACCCCTCCTTGTGGGAAGGCAGCATCGCTGTCATGCTGGTTGTCTGAAGGAAACACCTTACTGCTGTCACACCTCTGTACAGTCAGCAGTACGACTTCGCCTTCGGACCTTAGGTTTGTTGCTTTTAGTCTTACCGCTCTTCAACCGACCTGTCTGACATGGTAGGACCTTGAGGAACGGTTGTTCCAGCCAGTATAGCTCGGTTGCTTCATCACGATAGGCAAGCCCGACCACCACGTCAAGGTAGCAACAACGGTCGGGTTACTATTACACACCTAGGAAGGATTCAGTTAACAAGATTATTAGCAATAACCGAAATAATGATAGTGAAAAAAGATTAAACATTGAGGAATACGATTTGAAATGAATGGATTTGAGGAATAGAAATGATATTGATGAACATGACTTAAGGTAAGATAGGAAATGAATACAACTACATCATTGTGATCGACTCCGAGCCATTCAACATAAATAACATCTCTCACTGTAAAACGTCGAAAAATAGTCTTATGACTTAAGAGTGGATTTCTAGAGTGCTTCCTAGAATGACCTACACCATTTCTTGTAAGTGCGAAGCATTTAAAAAAAATTTCAAATGTTTATGATAGCATTAGCTTTCTTACAAATTCTTAATACAGAAGTATGTACCTGCATAGCAAGTTTTCGTTTAATATTCATTGTACCTCTATACGGTAACACATCTACGGCACTAATAACAGGTATTGAAGGTCTCTGGAAATCCCCCATCCTGTCTAGTGAATTAGCAATAATTTTCCGAGCAGAGAACATCAAAGGCGTATGAAAAGCCCCATCAACTGGTAATCTTTTAGTTCGACGTATTCCAAATTGGCCAGCATGATCTTCAATAAAGTCGATTGCCTGAAATTATTTGATAGGAAGATTTAAATCCAAATGAAACTAGGGAATAACTATTTTATGCAGTTAATCTTAACAAAATCAGTAAAAGTTAAGATAGTAGCTGCTTATCTACAAGTGCATGATATACGCAGCTGTAAAACAAAAGCATATGGTTTCACTGAGCTTAAAATACTACATTTCCGAACTATTTATTTAATAGAAGTAGATAAGCTTATAATCTATGTTGATAAGGAGACCTCTAAGTAGGATGTAACTCTAAGAGTAGAACGTGAGTTCTTAACGTTTGTATATCAAATGTGTCTAGTTTTTTCACCAAGGAGAACTGAACGTCGAAGCTGTTTATAATTACCCATACTTGATAAATAAAAACGGAAAGGCTCATATGAATATTGATATACATGAGAAGATAGGTGCGCTGGCGAATTTGTGATGAGAACAACACTAATTGGATGCACAAAGAATAACAAATTTACGGAGTTCTGTTGTATAGGATGGTCTCATGTGTTAAGTAAGCGATAAATCACCCAGTGAACAGAAAGTCATAATGAAACTAAAATAAACCAGTCTCCGGAAACTAATTGAAACGTATTTTTACTGAAGTTAAGCAATGTATTAAGTCAAACAACCACAGAAGTACAATCTAGATGGGATGGCAAACGAAAATCCAGTAAGGAAAAACACTACATAATAATGACCACATCTTTTGAAGCCGTGACTCTGCATAAATACAAAGATGTAAACATTATTGAAGGCATTTTTATGCTGTGTTGATTCTATTTAATGCAATACTGACTATATTATTTAGTAATTAAATCAAGAGATATTCACAGATCCTTTTCTATAACTTGAAAATATAGTAAAGATAGTGTTGATAGGTAAAATAAGGAATTATGATAGCCAAGTATTGCATGGAGTTCAAAAAATATTATCCAGATTTGAAATATATATTACCTCTTTATTTCCAGCGATAACTTTGCAATCTGGATATAAATAGTTAGCAACTTTACAACAAGGGTTTTGGATTTTATGGCGAACCTCGCAATGATTGATAGCTGCTGCTATACAAAGTTTTAATGGGGATCCAGGATTGAGGAAAACAGTAATCATTGCTCCAGCTTTTTCATCACAAGCTTTTTGCATTGCTTCTGCTCGGACACGAATGATATGCAGACCTGTTTTCATTAATATATGAAAATAAGTAGACTCACCTTCTTCATACGTCAGGGCACCCGAAAACACTAAAGCACTGATCTCGCCGAGACTAAACCCTGCTGTAACCACGCAATTTCTAATTAACTTAAAACATATAGCGTGAATTATATGGAATAGAAACCTCGTCATTTTCTTCTCGAAGCTTTACAAGGGCTGCTAAAGAAATTATGAAAGTAGCTGGTTGACAATGAATGGTTTTTGATAGTTTGGAAGCAGGACCCTCAAGGCAAATACGGAGAATATCTGTTCTTAATATTTCATTGGCACATTGAAACATTTGCTTTATCTTCGGTAACTTTACAAGATTTTTGCCCATCCCGACAAAATGAGATCCTTGTCCTGGGAATAAAATTATGGAAGTTTTATGTGGATCATTATCAGTTGCACTTAAAAAATTTCCTCAGTGATACTAAAAGTACCTTTTTTCATATGCAGCCCATTTATATCGATGCTTTGTTAAACATTGTGAATCCCCGGAATCACTAGAAAAATTGCATCGTCTGAATGGACCGTGAGATAAGCACTCATAAACGATCGGTTTGGTAATATAAAATGAAGAATTCCGCATTTGATGGAAAAGTTTAAAGATTGGTGATACCCTGTAGAAATAGATATGAAAATAACATTTAAAGTTACTTTGAACACATAAATGTATATTACTAGCTGAGGATATTTTTCATTATAAAAGTGTATGGCATGACTTACTTGCATATGGACTATTTAAAGTTTAGTTTAAAAGCTATTATCATAAGGATCTTGGTATTAGGTTGTAGTAAATTTATTTATTTATTTGAACATATAAATATTGGTACAAGAGAGCGCCGATATATATGCGCCACACAAAACAATGAAAATTTAAAGAGAAGGAAAAAGGTAAGGAGCGTAAAAAAAAGAGAACAATAACGAAGAGATTGGAGTAAGGTAGTGTAATAATGATAATAGTAATGATGGGGGAAACGGTAAGGTATAACCAGAATTCTTTCAGTTAAGGAAGATACAACCACTTTCTATGAAGTAAAGGAAGGTTACAGCAGGATCACAACTGGCTTCTATTCTGAGCCATATCTCATAACTTCTCTAGCCACTGTGCAGCACCATCTCTCGGACCCCAACCAGGGAGTCGTGAAGGTCCAACACAAGCCAGTCCTTTGCAGCTTTCTTCCATACCACGAGACCATGTCATACACTGACCATCTCTCCGCTTTTCCCAACCAGTCCCAGTGTCGGTAAATAATGCACGACGTGGAATTCTCTGGGACGACACTCGTAGAACGTGTCCAAGCCACCAAAGTCGATGTTTCAAGAGAGTGACACCAGTTGGATTATTGTCTCTGCATACGAACACACGATCCCGAAACTCTGCATTACTAGCTTGTTGTTGCCACTGGACCTCAGCAGTCCTTCGAGGACAACGATGACCTAACACCCCCAACTCAGAGAAGCCAGGTTTCACAAGCATAGGGCAAAACTGCTCTCACCGATGCGTTGTATATCCGAACTTTTACAGCCAGACTAACATCACGAAGGCGCCAAAGGTGGCCCGGATTGGCATAAGTCGCTCTGGCTTTCACCATATGTAAATCGATCTCATCACTCGCACCCCCACCAGCACTTATGCAGCTACCCAGATACACGAACTTCTCGATTACTTCTATCTGTTCACCATCCAGAGTGAGTGCAGGATTAGAATCCTGCCAATCATGTAGAAGTACTTTGCACTTCGAAGGTGCAAAGCACATACCATACCTACGGACACTAATTGCCAACTGATTAAGTGCGGATTGCATGCCTTGGGCATTATCGCACAGTAAGACAATATCATCCGCATACTCAAGGTCGAGAAGTCTTTCTCCAGGCAACAGATCCACACCGCCATTACTTACATCCATCAGAGCTGTTTCCAGAATGTCATCGATGGCAAAGTTGAAGAGGAATGGTGAGATTGGGCAACCCTGTCTAACCCCACTGCTCGAATGGAACAATGGAGAGAGGTAGTTGTATGCTCTCACTCTGCCTGAGGTGTTTACATATGGGGCTTTTAGGATGTTAATTAACTTCTCAGGCACACACCGCCTAGACGCCCGACCTGAGCATTCAAGTCTCCGGCTAGTACTAAAATATCTGTCGAACGCACTTTCTGGAGAAGAACAGATAACTGGTGGTAAAACTCATCCTTGATTGCATCCGGGCTGCAATCTGTCGGGGCATAGGCGGAGATGACGAAAAGACATCGTTTCTCGCGCCGATTTCTTCTAACTTTGTTGGAACTCTCTAATCTAATAGCACATAACCGACTGTTAATGGGGATTCAATCGATTATTACTGCCTCAGCTCTAGCGCTTAGTGCGACACTTACGCCAGCAAGACCAGACGAAGATGCCACAGAGTCCCCGGATAAGCGCACGTAAAACAAGCTTTTCAAAGCGACAGATGAAGAGCGAATTTGTAGTATTTCACCAGAGTCTTGAATACGGGTCTCAGATAGACAGCAGACATCGATATTACGGCTTTCGAAAGACATAGCCAGCCCTATCTGTTGTCCAACCTGCATAAGTGTGCGAACGTTGAAGGCAGCCAGTTTGAATGGTGCACGTGGTTTCAGGAAAACTGCTTCAGTACTCATATTCGGTGGTAACATACAATTTTCAACCGGACAGTGACTCGAGAACGTTTAGATATAGTCGAATTTCCACCAAAGATAAGCTGCTGTATAAGCCGAAAAAATAAGTATAGACAGAGTAGGAATAAAAGAGGGTGAATAATGTCGTAGTAAATAATAATAATAATAACAATAATAGTAATGATAATAATTTGAATCATTTGATTGTTAGTTGAAGCAAGAAAAGTAGTCTCAATAATTATAGGCAGTTCATCATTTGTGTGTGGGCCGTGGTATTGCCCAGGTGCCCTGACCGAAGCAGGTGGTTATCTTAAGGGCCATGCCCAGAGCCTTTGACCTAAAATCCTTACAAGGCAGTGGAGCATCGTAAGGAGATGGAGTCCCATGGTAGCCGGTGACCGAAAATTGGTTCATACGCCATTTGTTCCTGCAGGATACTGGAGCCCATGTGCACCATTGGTTTGGGATCCGGTTAAAGCACCGGACATTCGATTTTCGTCCTATCATTTTCGTAAACAACACCCTCACCACGAGAAGGCAATGAGTAGGACTTTCCTGGCAAAGGCTGTATACGCGTGGCCATGTGAGAGTATTTCGAGAGGGAGGGCAAACCCGCCCTGCTCTCGGTCATATCAGGGTATTTGGGCATTTCACGATTTTGGAAGTGGCATTTTGTGACTATGGAAAGCCGGGAAACGTTGACTGGTTTTGTTATGCTAGGGTCATATGGTTTTGATGAATAACTTTAACCTATACTTCTGCTCAATAACTTTATGTGACTGGCTTCATGTACTTAGTGTTATCCTTTATTAAATTGCGCAACCAATTGGTGGAAAGTGATGGAGAATCTTAAAAGTTGAAATCCTTGTTGAATACCAAAGGATTGAGAATCCCAGAAACCCCAACGGTCGATCAAACGTCTACAGTACATTCGATAAGTTGAATTAACGTTCATTGAAATTACAGAGAAATAAACTAATGACCGATTGGTTCCCAAGCAAAAGTATTGACATATATGATGCATTAGATCGTTGAATCTGACTGGACCATGTAGAATATCATCCTAATGAAACTCACGAGAATTACTGCAATCAGAACAGCACATTTTACAAAATGACTTGCAGTTAAGTCTGAGATTTTGTACTTCTAATGACCCAGATATTTATTTTCAAACAATTTGTAGACTCAAATTTATCAGAAATAGATCTAGCGAAAGCAATATTAAAGGCCACTATAACCTTTTTTCCAGTCACTTAATCGTGAGCGACATACGACAGATATCTATCGGTTCAAGTCCATGTACCGCACAGATACAGCGAGATAACATTAAGATGAATATCATGGTAGTGGTAATAAGTGATGGAAAATATATTAAACACAGAATACGGTTTCAGTGGTGAATAGATTATGGATGTTGAAGCTTAAAATGTGTGGGCAGATAAGGAACATACGCGCCTAGGTCACTAACTGAATTTGTGCATCTTCAACCATTAATTACAACCATCGTTAGGACCCCGATCACATAGTTTGTATCAGCCAACACAGATCATGCTGATATACATTAACTTTGCATAACGATCTCACGTTTCGGTCCAGTCACCCATGGCTTTTATCCAGCCAACAACCATACTAGCTATGAATGAACATCGAAGTGAATAGTCGTTAGTAAAAATAATACTAACTTAAAGTTATTTTCCTAATACCACCGATCTATATTTCACTAGCATCGAATGCCCTGTACTTCGCTTGAATGAAATTGAGTTCTACTTCAGTGATGTTTCTGGACTAGATTTCAAAAGGTGGTCAGATGACACCATGTCAAAAAGTCTGGTCTCCACATACACATGCTTAACTGAAAAACTCCACAGTCAATACTTGGTATTCGCTTATGTTCTTTATATAAAAACTAACTTTTTAAGTGCGTAAGCTAACTATGATATATAGATTTAGTTAATGTCCAGGCACCACTCACATGCCATACCACATTCAAGCCTTTTCAACACCGGCGCACGAAACATAAGGCAACGCAGCCGCTCGAAGACGCCAATCTTCAATATCCAATAAATTCGTCGATCTGTGAAAAAGATTGAAAAGGGTGTAGGATAGACATCAAGTTTCAATAAACAAGTTTGACTTAAGAGATTGGTTCAACGTCTTCGTTGATTATGTCCCTGACCTTTGCACATACCGTCAGTCGTTACTATCTATTAAATGGTCTAGTAATGTCGTTAGGTTAGTGATATTCACCCTAGTCTCCAGTGGTTATTATTTTATTGTCCGGTATACCTATCTCGTCTTATGCTTCGATGACGTTTTCGTTACTTTCGAGTTGCCTGATCTCAGAAAGAGCGGTGTTCAGTGCATGACGGTATTGTTGTGTGCTAGGTACAAAAAGAATTGTATGCTATATACGCCCAAACCCATACACATAGTTACACCCGTTACCTTCCATGGAGGTGGATAGGACGCTTACCAGCATTTTACATCCCATTCTGTTCTGGGCAATCCTCTTCAGCTTTTAGTGGCCCGTGGATATGACTCCAATTAGATCGTATGAATGTTTGTTATCACCTATCCTCGCATATAATCATCGACTTAAATCGCGTTAGTCAATAAAGAAATTAAATAAGTCGAATAACGAGAATGGACTTTTCAGTACATATAATTTGTGCATAAGGCGAATGGAATAGGGAGAAGAGAAAGGACGCAGAGTGGAGATGGCAGGTAAGCCATCTCCCACTTAACCAAGCGTTAATCAATATTTATAGTTACACAAAAGTAGTTTACAGACATGTGATGAGTAATGGGATCAGAAATGTACACACACCTACGTGTTCATATAAAAACATTCAAGATTGATTAGCGAATAAATAACAAGTTTAGAATGTGACCCAAGTAGAATGAATGAAATGGTCTGTCCGAAAGCTAGAATAAGGTATGTGGGCTTAAAGTAATAGCCGACACTAGAAGCTCTCTCCAGTTAATACTCAACCTTTCTGTGTCTGCCTTCAATTTCCAACGCATTGTGTTCCTTGATCTCCCTTTATTCCACTTCCCTTTAGCACTCCAAATTAGTAGTTGCATCGTGATACAGTTTGATAGTTTGGTTAATGTGTGTCCTGTCCACCTAAAACGTCTTTTCCGAATTTCATCCTCAGCTGGAAGTTGCTTCTCTCCCATAGCAGGCTGTTAACGATAGTATCCGGTCAACAGACATTGAGTATATAACAAACAAAATGCCAATATTCAGTGCCAACACAGAGCTAACGAAACTAAATTTATTCGATTAGATCAGACCACGTCCTTCTGTATAGTTAGTCGTGTTAAATATAAAATGCGGTTAACAGAGGCCTGAATAAAGGTTAAAATACAAGGCAGGGAGGAGAAACGAACAAACTAAAATGCTGTTTGATGAAATAGAGTGTAGAGATTTTTAGCGTGTTCTTTCATCGAAGATACTTCCCAGACACGTGAAAGATTCCACATTTTCCAGGGCTTAACCAACAAGTGAGATTGGGTTGGTGCTCTGCGGCTTGCATTTCCTCTGAGTATGATGATTCCTGTTGATGCACAGGCTGCTGCTACACTATCTGTCTTCAACTGCATTTATTGGTATGTATGGGATGGAAGGACTAGTCCATCTGTGAAGTCCAAATCTTTTAATCGACTCCGCGCTATGCATTGTATTCTGTGCTTCTCTTCAGATGTCGAGGTCTGCATAATCCAGCTGACCATCAGAAAAAAAGGAGAGTGAGCAGCCTTGTCTAACTTCGGTCAAACTTGGAATGCATCTGCCAGTTGTCCTGTATGCACGACTCTGCAGTTTTGTCCGTCGTACGAAGTCCGGATGATGTTGACGACCTTCTCAGGTACACCATGACGTCAAGGAAGAAGTTTCCATAAAATCATCTTGTCCACCCTGACTAATAATTTCTCAAAATCAAGGAATTTGACATATGGTGACGAGTTCCAATCAATAAATTGTTCAACAATGATCAGTAGTATCACAATTCAGTCACACGATTGATCCTTACGAAATCCGAACTGTTGATCTTGAGATTGGGCATCCACCTCAGTAAGACTCTGTTGGAGACTTTCCGTGGTACTGACAGCAGTGTGATTCCTATGTAGTTCTTGAGTTTGCTGAGATCTCCTTTCTTTCGTATCTTGATGAGGTGTCCTTCTTTCCAAACTATCTGTGGCACTTGTTCTTCCTCCCAAATCTTTCTGAATAGGATCTGAAGCATCCTTGCACTCACTTCTATATCTGGCTACAGTGTTTCGGCTGGTATATTGCTAGGTGCTGTCACTTTCCCACTCTTGATTTGTCTGATGGTCGGTCATCCTGATTTCTTCGATCGTCGGTGGAGTGACATCGATAGAATGTCTATGTGTTCTGTTTTAATGTCCGGTGAATTCAATGAAGCTAATCTATTCAAGAGTTCCTAGAAGTATTCTACCTATTTGTTCCACTGTTCATCAATCTCAGTTATCAGCTTGCCTTCTTATATTTGAATGGTCACACCGCTTTACAAAATATACATTCTAATTTGTCTGTTGCATCCTACAGTTGTCTCATAATTCCATATTTTCCAGCATTTTCGACTATCATTCCTAATCGTCACACGTATTTCGGATTTTAGGTTCCAAAGCTCCTCTTCTCTCATATTTTCGCTTCTGTGTATTCGCTGTGTGCTTCGACTTTATCTGTTCTCGTTCGGTTTTCGTTGATTGTTGTCTTCTTGTTCTTCCTTTCTTGAAATTTGTCCACAGTCTCCATAGAGATTCATTCATTGTGATGATGCTTCTTGAGAGATAAGGCCTCCTGATGTGTTGAAGTTAGTGTTTCTTTGATCCATTTCCAATTGTCCCCCATAACAGTTTCTTCTTCTTTCATTTGGTCATGCAAGGCTTAGATTCTGTTGCTGAGAGCAATCCTGAACCTGTTGAGTTTGCCAGTATCTAGAAGGAAGGCTGTATTGAACCTTTGTGATGCTGTCTCTCTGACTGTCCAAAGTTTCGTTAGGTTCAGTTTCATCTTGACATCCAACAGTGGGTGATGACCTGAAGTTATATCAGCTCTACTGCTGGTCCTCACGTTTTCCGTTGTCCGTCAGGATGTTTTGGTGATACAAATATGGTCGATCTGGTCATGTGTAGTGTGATCCGGTGAGACCCATGTAGCTTTGTGATTATTTTTGTGTGGGAAATATGTGCCACCTATAACCGTCCTTTCGGTCTCCGACATTATCCGGACATTCCATGTACCTATATTAACTGCTGCTATGGTAGTCAGAAGTTACATCAGCATTTTGACGCCCGAAGAACTTCGGCTTTCATCATGAGGCGTCATAATTCTTACGAATAAAAATCCTCGAAGTCCCAGGGAATAGTTTAAATTGTTTACTCTGGTCAGGGATTTTTAAGCAAGGTGGTTCCCTACAGAATAGAGTTGCTGGCCCCATTCCCAACCCTCCTTCTTTACCCGGGCTTGAGAAAAGGGCCCCTTTCATAACTGGAGTGCGAAATAAGATGCGACGAGTGTTAGAGCCAAAACCGTGACGCCTGTTCTGATGGTTAAAGAAGAAAACCTGATGGTCTAATGCTGACAGGCACTCAAAAAGTGCGACTAAATATTCAGATAAAAGTACATCGTTCCCATACTAAAGTTTATGGTAATAGTAACTGATGGTAATGCAGTTTTTAGTAGTTCAGCAATAGAAACATAGAAATGTCATGAAGGCAAGTTGAAAGGTTACAACTGTTTCGTCCTGTGTGTTTTTCAACATAACATAATGATAATAGCATATTGAGCTCTGGTTTACAAGGATGATCAGGTCGATACAAATTTGTAGTCTATCGAAGAAGAAAAAACATACGTCATTCTAAGAGATTTCTTCAGTGAAATTAGTTTATTGTAACTACTGATACTTAATTTATTGTACAGACTTTATGTGCGTTCAGTGTTCGTATACTGATTATGGTTGAATGTGAGAAGGAAGTGAGAGCAATGGAACTGGCAGTGCTTGCTTATTCATTATTGTTATTAATATTTTGACTTTATGACGCCCTAGTTGTTGAGGACGAATATGATTCTGCACTCTACTCACGGGAAGTTATTTGCTCTTTATAGCTAGTTAGCATTATACTGGTCCTGTACAATTGTTCGTCTTGTTTCGGTAACTAATGAACATTCTAGGTTTGACCTGGATGTAAGCATAAACTACTTCGAATCGAGCGTTTACGACTAAACTATAAATCACACGCAACATAGAATATGACGAAAGTGCATAATCAGGAGTAAAATAATCTAAAACATACGGTTAGCAACTGGATGCACATCGTTATATTCATAAAAATCAGAAGTGTGCAGTCATCAACATTAAGAGACGTGTTAATGTATGGTGTAATGATAAGACATATTGAGATGATGTAAACAAATCACCACTTGAGTTGCGTAGCGATGAATACCGAATTAGTCTCTTAGAAATGTTGTAGCTTCTGAGCTTTTCATATACCTTTTGTTATTGTTTGTTAGTCTGGAAGAGTAAATAACTGCGAGATCATTTGATACGTTCGATTTCCGACGAAAAGACATTATTATTATTCACAAACAGCTTGTTGATGCACAAGTGTTGTAAAGAAACCATTTCGGGTTTATTCAAAAATGCAACTATACATAAGTTAAGGTAATGCTTACACAATATTTGCCATGTATATACACATTCTGTATATAGTATTTAGAAGAATAGTAGGTTGATATTAAAGAAAAAAAGTAGAGAGATTTTTGTATATATATGTGATATATGTACAATAGTACATATATTCACATTTATGGCTCATGTACTACACAATATACTTAGTTAATATGACTCTTACACAATATACATATTCAATAAGTGTGGAAAAAGAAGACAGCAAATTCAGAAGTAACTGGGAGTCAGTTAAAGCCTGTTGCGCTAAGCATCATTCTGTTATCTAAATATATAGGCTGGGAAGTTGTAGACTTGATCTCGGTTACCTACATAATCCTCTGC